CTATGTGAAAGGGTTTACCATTGTCAATAGTTTCCAAACTCTGAAAATACATCAAATATAAATAATATGCAACCGTTGCTGGAAAGATGCAACATAACATGTGGACAGTTGTGATAAGGACGAAGATTTAATGATAATATTATCTGAATAGTCATTCCGTACACTGAAATCTCTGCTTGTTATCCAAGATATTGTATTTGCATTGATTTTTAATGTAACGTGCATTGGCTATAATTTTGATGGTAATAACAAATATAATAGTTGATCTGAAACTTCATCTTTTGACCTGATAGGTCAAACTGGTTACTAACCAATCAGAAAGCTTGATAATACCAGTGTTTTATCAACATTTTTGCAATGATTTTGTGTAAAAATGACATGTTTTTCCCCAAAATGAATTTGACCCATTGATGGTAGTCAAAATAAAATGTATTGTATTCTTGAATTGGTGTCAGCAACTAAGAAAACTCTAAATTGTACTCATTTAATACTAAAAGTGATGACAATTCATACAAAAGACACAGCGGCATTATAATTTATTCAGATATGGATTAAAACTTACTGCAAGATACTCTCTATCTCTTTCAATAAGATCCGCCAGTTTATTCATGAGAAGACCTCGCTCAGATGCATCCATAGTCCTCCATGGTGACCCTAACTTAAACGCTTCACGCGCAGCGACTACAGCCTTGTTAACGTCAGCCTACAAAATATATTATTAACTGTCATATATAATGAAGTCAATATGTGAACTTTGATAAATATTAATCTTCACCAGGTAAAGTGACATGCAACTATGTTACTGTCTTTTGGACATCTATATGTAGTAGATGGGGTGAATTTTTAAATCCCCCAGACACTTTCAAAGATATTTAAATTTTGCTGGGCGATGATCAGTTCTCAAGTTGATTGAACCATATCATTATTATAACTAAAGAAATGATTTATTTTTGTAAATTAAATGGCACTCCACCTTCATTTCGTCTGGTGGAAAAAAAAGTTATGGAAACAAAAATGGAATATTGTATATGTAGTAAAAATAGCACTATCGAATTGTTTCAGGTGAAGTGTGGAAACTTTACCTAATGTTGGTTTGTACATCTTACAATACACAAACTTTATATATAATTGGAGTTACTTTTTTTTTTTAATTTTGTTGTTGTAAATTACTGTGGACTACTTTATTTTCGCTGGAATTAATTTTTGCTGAAAAGGCTTTTTGGGCGTTTTGTATGGAATTTATTTTCATTGATTTTTGACGAGTTTAATGTGAAATATAGGAAAAAAAGTATATTCCCTGGATTTTATTGTCACGGAATCATCCCTTTAGCGAAAATAGCGAAAAAAAATTCCAAGCGAAAATAAAATATTCTACAGTACTGTTTATTTCTGTATTTATTTATTTACTTAAAAAAAAAGTGATACGTGCAAGTGAGTGTAATATTGGTGTTTTGCATCTCATTACTGCATTGGTGTTGGTTTCTGGTGCATAACATCTACGAAATAATGACAATATGATGGGAAGTTCTGACTTTGATACTCGGAGCCAACAGTTTTTTTAGCAGTATAAATCAGTACAGTTTTTCATGCCTTCCATTATGGTTAAAGCCAACTAATTGTCATTTGTATAGTTTGCATTTTCATTGTCCTTGTTATTTATAACCAATTTAAATTCATCCAACATTTTTTTCGTGTTTCAATAAACGATTGTTCCCGTTTCACAACCAAATTTTTCTCATGTAGAAAACAATTATTTTGAAATACAAGTTACACAGATTTCTTTGAATGGCCGAATGATATACATGATGGCCGAGTCTTTTTGTAATATATTTTACCATCATCTAAGGTGCACATATTCAAGTGTTGTAAGCCACATTAATTTTGCAAGACAAATATTCACAATTTTCTTTACCCAGTGAAATATTTGTAACAGTGAAAATTTCTCAGATGTTTTGAGATGAATTTGCAATTCATCTGAATTTGCAACCCTGTTATTGGTCAAAATACTGTTTGAATTACATGCATAAAGGAGATGTCTTGCAGACCTAGAGCATTGTTTAAGA